GCCTGTGTGTAAATTTGTCATGCTGCTTTACTTATTAAAAAGGTAATTTAATCAGGGATTAAGGGCAGTAGATTTCAATACATATGAACCAACAAGTACATGTACCGGTACCATGTGGAAATGTGTACAACACATCAATTGTGCGTTAAATATGTATATCAAAAATTTGTAATATTGAAGGTCTTTTTATATATTTTTTTACTGTTGTCGGCAAATTTTGAAAGCTGAGGATTATTTTATTTTTTTTTTTTGCTTGTCAAATATTTTGTTGCAACTTTGTCTGCAAATTTTTCTGTCGGCAAATTCGTAGATTTGAGGACCCTTTTTTGTTGTTGCCTTGTTGGATGTTTTGTACTCCAACTTTGTCGGCAAATTTGGTCCGAAACCCCCCAATTGAAAATGCTCTAGCTATGCCCCTGTGTGCAGTTCAACTTGTCGAATGATGATACAGAATGTTTGAAGTTATTATCTTTTCTTGTTTTTTTTTTTCTGTTACAGATAATTAAACCGCGACAGTCACCGGTCCCTTCCTGAGAATTCAACCTTGCAAATGGAAAATATGGAAACATTAGATCTACCCAACTAATGAATCAAGCAAACTTGCTCCAGAAAAAAACTGGAATAAAACTCCACAAAAAATAAATGTTTTCTTAGCACAGATAGACATTGTAGCTGTATTGATCTCGTCCTCCATTAATTAAATGGAGATGTTCCTGGTAACTACATATCGTCGTGACCAGTCGGGTAGTAATGACTTTTTGTCACACGACTACCCAACTAGTGAGTTTTGCTCTGCACAGCACTAGACCTTGTACAATGTACCAGCACATGTCGTTATGCATTCCTGAAGTGCACTGTACTTTTAATGAGGGTTATGTCATGGTCATTGCACTCTGCTGGACGATGCCCTGACTTGTAATGTACTGACTTCATCTCCGCATTAATTTGTTTTAAGAAGGGGATCGGTAACTACAAATAATAACACAAGGGAGAAGGATTGGGGTTGATGGGGCTGTCAACGGTGGCAGTGATTCACTGTCTATCAGGTTGGCAGATTTAACTGACATCTTTTATACACGAACGTAAATGTATAACATTATTTAACAAAATTTATTTCAAAAATATAAAGCAGGGAATGCAGGCCAACTGCTAAAAATAGTAAAAATTAAAAAGAAATTCACCAGGCATTAATTGCTTTTATTTGTTTTTCAAAATGAAAAATCATGCAACAGACTCTAATAAAAGAAAATGTTATTATTTTATAAAATTTTCAGATTTACCCAAAATCAAAAAACAATGATGCATACATGTACATTTAGTAGGCCTAATTCTTGTAAAGTTCAACTTAAATTTCAAATGCGTACTTTTCTCTGACCATTTCAATCTACACCGTATATTATATGCAACTACCGGTAACATGCAATTTTTTTATTAGTAGGATCATTTACTTTTTTATATTTTTTTTTCATTTGAATCAACAATATCGCTCAAAAATCTTAAGTTGGGCACATAACACTAACCTGCAGAATTTTTTAAATACCGGTAGCTCAGCCACTACTGTACTTTTTGAAGAAAAAAACCCACTATTTTTGGGTCTCATATGTATGCAACTAGATTTCATTGCTATTCCACATAAAAGTGTGTCCTTTGGCACACTTGTTTAAAACCACCTTATGGCGTTATGCGATCGATTTTTTTCTAAATGATACCATTTCAGGTGGAATAATTACACAGGGTACTTAAAGACTGGTTCCGTCCTCACTTTGTGCGAGGTTTCTCTCGTTAAATCTGTACGTCCGTTTCCTGGTTTGTACGTGCCTTTAAAGCACAAAGTGGTAATTTAAACGTGTGCTATTGTGTTTCAATGCACACCATACATATGCAAATGCATTAACACATTATGCACACATCTCTGCCATCGTTTTTAATTAATCTGCTCTAATACCAGACACGTACACACCCACTCATCAATGAAGTGACATCAATTGGTACACATCTTAAACAATTTCGGGAAAAGATGACTCAGCTTTTGTCAACACTTTTCAGGATGTCATGTATACATGTATGTAAAGTCTGTCTCGAGCCTATATGGCCCATCAGGCCGGCGTTTATCTCCGGTTTCAGTGGCATAAAACGACTGAGAATATTTCTATTCCCCCTGGACAGGATGCCAGTCCATCGCAGGTTACTCCCCAGCTAATGCTGGTACCCATTTATACTCCTGGGTGGAGAGAGGCAAGTGGGGATAAAGTGCCTTGCCCAAGGACACAACGTATGGCCAGCAGCCGGATTTGAACCCCTGACCCTCTGATCATGAGTCACGAACCCTTACCGCTAGGTCACACTTCCCTACCTACATGTATGTACTCGGAATTTTTTTTCTGGTGAATTTGAATTTGAATTTTCCCTATTTTTGTGAACATTTAATTTCTAATGACAAAAAAATTTGCCTGGAAACATACTTTTGGGGGAGCGGGTGCTCTAACCTTACATACTCTTTGTGGACTTGTGAACAAAAGATGTCCACAGGATGCAGGAAGCGTGAACGCTTTGTGGACTTGCACACGTCCACACTAGGTTTCCCCTTTTCTTGAAAACAGGTTTAGAGACATTTTTGGGTTAGGGTTATCCGTCGCAAAACGTAGAGAAATACTCAAGGCAATTATGGTTAAAAAAAATTTGGGTTGAAAGAGTGTTCATAGTGCAAGTAAACTGATTTTTTTCCTCCGGTTTTTCTTAATAACACGAAAACAAAGGAAAGTCCACAGAAGGTATGCAAGATAAGACTTGTTCCCAACCCTACAACATCAATCCTAAAAGAGGGACCCAAACTAGTCTACCCAGCCTGCGAGAACTGAATTATTGTCCGGCCGCAGGCGCCTAATAATTCAAATCTTGTAAAGTAATTATCCCGTAAATGTGGGCCAAAATTTCGGTCAATGCCTCTTTGAAAAGTGAATAACTTTGTAATTTCTAGAAAAAAAAGCAATTTAAAAGGAAAATCTGTTTTTCGGGGGTGAAACTTAGAAATAGCAGGGACCGTGCACCACTTGTTCCTTGCTAGCTGTGGTATTACATTGTTTATCAAGCCCCGTTCCCAAAATTGTGCGAATATAAGAAATTCATCTGAGATGAAAATGCCCCTCTGAAGGAAAGCTGGCAACCTTTTATCTTGATTTTGTCTCCTGGAAACTGGTTGTTGTTGTGATGCCCCGTGGCGATTTTTCCCCCTTGGTATCTACACTGCAATCAATTTCTAGAAGCAAAGTCCAAGCAATATGTGCCGTCCAAACGCAAATTTATTGGGGCCTGCCGACACGTGGAGTGCACTCAAATGTGATAAATCGGCCGGTTAATGTACTTTGAAGAAATTCCACGGAGTTCGTTCCGTTTCCACACAAATTAGCGATATTTCATGCGCTTGGCATTTTCAGAACCACAAGTTAATTTATTCTGTCTGTGCGAATGACGCACAATGCACGGTGTACGGCACAAGTACGTGTCTTGTGCCGTGTTACGAACACGTTACTTCAATTTGTCGCTCAGCATACTGTCTCTTGAGAATGTACATGAAATAAAAATAACTTGTTTTCCATTCACCCCGCCTATGCCTGGTATTTTGATTCCAGTATTTTTTTAAATGTTGATTGTCCAAAATTAACTTTGCAATAAGACTAGACAAAATCCAGTGTTGTTGTACTAGTACTCGTACTCGTACTCGAGTATCAAAATACTCCGACTCGAATTCACGGTACTCGTACTCCAGAAGCAGAGTACTTGGACTTAACTATTTGATATCGTAATTGATCATGAAAGTAACTGACTCGATTATAAGGACTCGGAGAAAAATCGAGTAAGTTAGTTTTGAATGAAATAAAATAATCTCACTATAAGAAGTACATGCTCCATTTTATCGATACTTCTACTCGGAGTACTACTTGTACTCCGAGGTCAAAGTACTCAGACTCGGCTTTACAAAACTCATGCTCGAAGGTCCAAGTACTTGGACTCGGATGTACTCATTCCCAAAGGTCAAAGTACTTGGATTTGATTGGTACTTAGAAAGAATGTAATATCCTGGCAGCACTTGTGGCTGTGTACAAAGTCAAGAGTTGTATTTTCGAAGTATTTTCAAACAAAAATTGGAAATGTTTCTCAATCCCAAATTCATGTCTTTTCAACATTTTTGCAATGACTGACCTTCATTGGGATAATAATGAATAAAGTGGGGTCAGGATGCAACATTCTTTCCTGGTACTCGATACCTTGGTACTCGGCAGTACTTGAAAATATACTCGGATAAAACTACTCGACTACCACACTGACAAAACCTATTTGTAAACCATGAATTTGTCAGCATTGATAATGTAATGAATAAAATGTTCCCAATCAACTTGATTCCTAAAATCTGCATTGCCATAACCCAAGATATTTACGAACAAATTAAAATGAGTTTTACAAATACATCTTTATGAGCTAGCCCAAAACCAGTTCAGCCATGGCTACATACATAAAGATTAACTATAAAGAAAATGTGGCACAGATAAATGACAACATTGTGAATATATATGATCAAGCACGGCAAATTACAGAAAAAGGGCTTTTGCTTGTTTTTGATTTTTTTAAGGTCAATTATTAAATACAACTAAAAGGTATTGTGGAAAAATGTTGCAACCTGACACCACATTTTTCTTCATAATATCATTTCAATGAAGGTCAGTCATTGCAAAAATGATGATAAAGCATGAATCTGGGACTGAGAAGCATTTCCAATTTTGTTAGAAAATACTTAGAAAATTGTCTTGACTCTCCATAGACTTAGCACACAACCGCTGAAGTGGCGTCAGGTTGCAACCTTTTTTCAGCCATTTGTTTTTATGAATCGCTAAAGACAAGATCCATAATCTAAGTGCAACTTCCTTGCTCTACAGCACATGGCTATTATAGCGTATACGTTGCGCGGAAACATGGTGGGGGAAACACCTGTTCTACACACTTACCCAAATACTCCTGGCCCGGTACGTAGAATGATGGATGGCCCGATATTCGGATCCGGTACCCGTTGTCACCGGGTCGTTTGGGCACCGTAAAGTCCCCCGGCAGCCTCGAACACGCGCGCCTCGACGCTCCCAGCGTTCCCGCCAGTAATGTCAGAGAGTAAAATGACAAAATGGTGAACATTTTGGTAAATATCCGGGCCATTTTGTGGCTGTGTACTCACAGTGTAGTAAGCTTAAGACGTTCAACACTTTCACCTCACCACCAGCGCTTTCATTAAAGTTTATCACTTCTCGCGAAATCGATCCAACCCAACACGTATACACTCCAGTGCATTGTTATTGCTCGACGGCTGTTTTTTGTACAAACAAAAGTTCTAACCACGGTGAACGCCTAGTGCCCCCTCTGTATTGCAGGGTTTTTTCCCACTACAGTACAGTACAGGCTCTCAAAAAACAATCCCCATTAAGTCAACGTAGCGCCCTCAATCTGCCGATTAGAAAACTAGAGTAACTGGAGGTCAAATAAATATTGCCAACAGCGGCATTTTCTAATGCTTCAAATTTCGAAATGATTTATCTCCCATTCCTTCAAAAATATCCACTGTATTTCGCCAACCCTATATAATTCTAAGATTTGACAAAAGTCACGCGTTATCACCAGGCTCGTCGCCAAGGGGGGCGGGCCCTCCTGGCGAGCAACTGCCCCACCCCCGGTAAAAACCATAAGCCTAAAAATTGACTACAAACGTGCTTTTTCTTGTGGTGCCCCCCCCCCCCCCCCCCCCCCCCCCCGAGAGCTGGCGACGGTGCTGGTTATCACAGTGAAAATACGAGCTAAGACAAGATAAGTTTGCGGTAGCACCATGTGAATAAATCTCTTTTGCGAGTATGTGTGGTTCTGAAAAGAACCGGAGGGACTCAGAACCACACATACTCACAAAAGAGATTTATTCACATGGTGCTACCGCAAACTTATCTTGTCTTAGTATCTTTCCACCATGCAAACCTTCAAATCTCATCGAAAATACGAGCTCTGACAAATTAATAGTCGTGCTTGAATAGGTGCTGCGCGCACAACACAACACAACACGCCAATGGACCGATCCAGTAAGCACCGCCCCATGGTGTTCTGACCAATCACAGCCATGATTTATGTCCGACGTGCGTGCACTAAAGTCCGACATGCGTGCACGCGCGTATGATGCGCGCGGCAGAAAAATGCAGTGTGGCATTGGAGAGGAGCATGTGTTAATTTGCCCACGTGCGCACTGGGCGGAGCTTACAGGATCGGTCCATTAACTTTCGACCAATCAACTTGCTCCTGACGAAAGATCTGTTTGGGCATGATCTAGCACGATCGTCAAAATATTATGTTCGCAGATAGGTTTCAGAACCCTTGAACGAGCAGTTTGGAGTGCCACATTTTTATCAAATGTAGAAGTCCCTATGTCAAAACTAGTTGAAAGGTGTTCAATCGTTAAAAATACACAAGAAACAAGTCAATCATTTTTAATAAGTACTTCATAATTTATTGTACACAATGGTATTGTTCAGGGTTGGGTTTTACCCCTATATAGGGTGCTGGACCCGTTTAGAAGCCGTGTTGGATTCTTGCTAATGTGATAAACGGGTTTCCCGGAATGACCAAGGTCCAACACAGGAATTTTGGATAGTGTGAAAGAACTTAACAGATTTTGAGGCAAAAAAGGTTTGCTTCTAAATTTGAAAATGTATTGTGGTGAGTTTATGGCCTTTGAATTCCTTCTTTTTGAAAAGGAAAGGGACGATGGGAAACAAAGATGGCAAGAAATTTATGGGAGTTGCAAAAATACTTTTAAATTTGTATCAATAATTAAAACGATTATAAAGTTCATACTAATTAATATAACCAAGCTAATTAAAATGGCAAGCACAGATCTAGTGAAGGCCTTGCATTTTTTTTGGCAGTACACTGACTCGAGTAGTCTATGGAATATCCCCTTGCACAGCAAGGGACTATGATATGCTAGCAAAACATGCAAAACAAGACTTGTCTTGACCTCGAGATTCTGACTATTAAGCGGGCGCTTCTATCGGGTTTCCGGTAACCTGTTGTTGTACTACAAAAAAAAAGCAGCCAAATTGACCAATCAACAGCTTTTTAATTTTAGTCCACAGTTTTGATCATAAATCGAAATGACATCACAATATCTTAAGTCTACTCTGATTGGTTGGCGCGCTGGGCCACTTAAAATTTGCATTGCTCAAATAATTATATCAGACGGGTGATAATCAGACTACGACTTGAGCTGCTTCTTGAAAAAAATTAAAACGTAAAAATTTCATCGTTCTATTGATCAGACCACAAGTACTTCATCTTAACTGCTACAACAAACTGAAAATCTCCAGTCTTGTATGAGCATGTACTGTGCATTTCACATAGCTGGTGTAAGTTTGTAATTATTTACCAAGAATTTGGTACAACAAAATCCAATGACACAGTTACTTATATCACACATGTGTCTTAAGTAAATTAGTACTTGCTTTTATATGAAGATTTTAAGACACAATATTCTAAAACAAAATAGTCACACACTTTTCCACAGTAAAGTTAAGTTCTACAAAAAAGAAGAAAAAAAAGGCGATGCTCTTTTGTAAGTACTGTTTTCCCGTCAAGATCCTTCTGACAAAAAAAAAAGGTGTGAGAACAATATAATTCTAAAGGTTTGCATGATGAAGATAGAAATAGGATCAAGATTTATGGTAGCACTATGTGACAAGCTAACCCCGGTTCTTTTCAGAAACTCACAAACGAGATTTGTCACATGTTGCTTCCGTAAATCTTTGTCCTATAACATAATCATTTTCTGAGTTTACTTTCATTAAGTCATGAGTTGTGGATTAAATAGAAACGGAGTAAAGAAATGCTAAATACCCCCTTTTGCTCCCTTTAACAATAGATCCTTTGTATTCTGTAACCATCTTCGAGTTGTTTTTTTTCAATCAGTAAAAAAATTGGGAATGTCTTAAATAACGGTGTATGTTCCGCTTCAATGATGGATCTAGCTTAGGTGGGGTAGTCAGTCTAACTCCCCCACCATGGGGCTGCAAAATAAAAGGAAATTCTTTCAGGAAAAAGTAGCACATGCCAGTCCCCCCCCCCTCGCCCCTTGAGCAAAAGCTGTTTTTATCCCTGCATATCTGAACAATCATCAAGCTCTCTTAAACTTATTTACTCAAGTTTCATAAAAGGACATCGCCAGCACCTGTAAATATTTATAAAAAAAAAAATTGTTTCACTGAAACAAGCATAGAACAAAATGGATGGCAACGTTTTGTGACAGAGTTCAATCTCTTTGGTTAGCGGATTTAAAATATCTTTGAACTTGAATTTTTCGAATATGATCGCTATATGGCAGCTCAGTTTGAATCATTCGAACACATGTTTTATTCTTCGACGCTTCAGGCTTCAGCTTGAAGCTATCAATGTCAATCCCGGGCGGCCGCCATACCCCTTCATCGCCGCTCACAACATCAGCGATGCAGTGCTCTTTAAAATACGCCTTCCGTTTTCTCAGTTCGGCCACCTCCCGTTGCATTCTGTCGTGGCCAAAAGCCTCGACTTTCTTCCAAAATGTCCTGTTGAAGGCGTCGTACAGCTGCACGTCCCCGAAATTCCACCTGCGGATGTTGTCGGCCGTCTTCGGTGAGACGGCCCGCACCGAAGACTTGTTGCGGGCGTTGAGGACGAAGTACACAATGTCGTCCATTTCCCAGCAAAAGAGGTCCCGCAGAAGTATCAGGGACTCGTCGAAGTACTCCGTGATCATAACCAGGTCAAACTGGTATTCCATCTGGTGGATTTTCCGTTTGATCCGGAGCGGGTCTCCGAGTGAGCGATCTTCCAGACCAAGGTCATACAGCATGGGATTTCTGACCCTCAATTTCCCGGCAGTGTGAGCGATTGCGTAGTAGTACTCCGGTTTCTCCAGGAAGAGTTCCAGCGCCTTGTCTTCGGGGAGATTGTACGCGAGAGCAAAGTTGCCGTAGGTGAAGAGAGATTCGAACATGCTGATGGGGTCTCTGATGATGGTGGTGTAGACCGCATCACTATGCATGACCTCTGCCATGCCTGGAAGATTAGAGTTAAAAAAAAGATGAGACAGTGTTGAAGTTAAGTCCATCACAAGTCCACACAAGTCCTCACAAGTTCACACAGGTCCTCACAAGTCCGTACAGGTCCCCACAAGTCCAAAATCAAGTCAAAAGCTTTTGAAATGATCTGTGACACAGTCATTCCTTTTAGCATTGTTTTAATCTGTGTTACTTATGACGATTGACTCATGGACTTGTGGCTGGACTTGTCAGGGACTTGACTACAACAATGTGATAAAGGGTATGTTTTTCTTTAATGGCCCAACGACAAGCATGTGATTTATTCTGGACAACCATCAACCGGAACCTACATGTACTTTGCAAATTGCAAACCTGTATAATTCATTCACCTTTTATGAATGCAAACAAAACTTGAGGATATATCAGGAAACAGACAAACAAGCAAAATTACATGTGCATGTAGTACACAACTGACAAAATGTTCAACAAACTATGATTAAAGGTACATAAGATCATTTCCTTTTGATCATTTCCTTTCCTGTCTTTACCAGCGGCGTAGCCAGGGTTCTTATCCTAGGGGGGCATGTAGGGGGCTCGAGGTTGCAATGGAGGGGTGCCCCAAAAATTTCATCCAAGCTGAAAGGTAGACAGGTTTTTGTTTTTCACAGGACATCCGCCCTCCGTAAAATCAAATAGGAGGGGGGGGGGGGGGGGGGGCTGGACACCATCTTCCAATGGGGGCGCTGTAATAAACGTATATCATGACTACATTAGACAATAACTACCACTGTTCGCTTTCAAATAGACGTTACAATAAACAGCCACTTGCGACAAAAAAAAAGAGTTTTAGTACAAAATATGCACAAAAACGCGGAAAAAAGGGACTTTTTGTTCTTTCAGCTAATCATGGTAAATCGTATGGCTGTGTTTTTCCTCCAGATGCCAAATTTCCGGTGGGGAGGGGGGGAGCAACTGGGGGGGGGGGGCACAAACTTTTAATGGGGGGACGTGCGCCCATGTAGCTACGCCGCTGGTCTTCACTTTGAGCATTGAAGGTTTCTGTCCTTAAATCAGTAGGGATATACTTTTCCGTGTAATTTGCAAATAATCTTACATGGCTTTAAGTTTTTAGAAAGCAAAGAGTACATTGTAATACCCAAAGCCGCATACCTCTGTAATTGAAGCGAGTGTGGTGACAAAGGACGTTGTACTTTTTCACAGGGAATTTCATCATGAGGCTCCTTACGAACAAATACTGCCCGTTGCCCAAATAGTTCCCCTCCTTTGGAAGGACAAAGTCCAGCTTGTGCTCCTCCCCGTAGCGGAATAGAATATTCTGAACGGTGCTGCTGCTGCATTTGTGCATCTTGAAGAAGACGATATTCCTCCTTGGGGTGCAGTGATGTTCCTCCGCGATTTCATCCGAGGAGATTGTGTTCGTTTGGTTTCTGTTATCGGTGTCTCTCAACTTGGCCTGTAAGTAAATAGGATTTGGCACATGTACATGTAAGACATTAAGGGTTGTCCAAAATTATCAACATTTTCACAACATCTACATGTATAGGCCTAATCCAGGCTATATTGAAAAAATTGGCATGTCATGAACATGCACCCACACACACACACACACACCCATTCTGGAATTTGTATTCCTGTGGAGACATTTCTTTGTTCTCGTGTAGTAAAGTTTTCGAGTTTGAAATTGAAGTTTCAAAATGCTCTTATTTTAACCAGAATTAATTTCCTGGGCTGAAATTTGGACTAAATATCCCTTTTCTAAAACTCTTCCATTTGCGACAGATCAACCTACCTTGGAAATTCCTAGTTTTTGAGTAAAATCCATATATCTATTTCGTGAAATTCTTGTGGAGACGTATTCATCTATAGAAATGTTCTTCTGGAGACGTATACAATCTTTTGTTCCCTATTGTGTTCATGTCTCCGTAAGGTAGTAAATTCCAGCACACACGTGTTTACGTTACATACCTAATGTGGACATTCCCTTGCTTTCGTGTAGTTAAGAAAAACCTCTGAAAAAAACTCGTTTTACTCTCACTGTGACAACACTTTCAATCCAATTTTTTTCTTCTATGATTCCCTTTAGTGTTTCTCTTGATTTTGCCACTGATAAACCTAACCCAAAAATGCCTCTAAACCTGTTTTCCAGAAAGGGGGAAACACTGTGTGGACGTGGGCAAGTCCATACATCGTCGCTGCTACCTGGTTTACGTGGACCTCTTTTGTTCGGAAGTCTACACAGTGAATGTAATGCTTACCCCCAAGCACACGCGCATACACACACGCAGGTCGCGCGCCATGGATTAGCCATGTGCTAACTAATCAAAACACTGACTGGATAGCTGATTTGAAGTGAAAATGGTCGTCGAAATTTATTGTCCAATAGGCATGCTCCTTATATCATGATGAGAAGAATATACAGGAGATAAATCTGACAGCATTTTGCTATTGTGACTGCATTCTTTGAACCAAAAAATTGTCTCGGTTGAATGCAAATACAATGTAAACCGATTCAGGGAAAAGCCTATATAGTTTTAGTATAGGGGCAAATCAAAGTCCAAAATTTATAGGCTTCAGTAATTCTGGAATTACTTTTGTAGTATTTATTTAACATACTGCTTAAAAAAGAGAGCATAATCCTTACCTTAGCAATGTCATGCATTGACTGTACCAGCTTGGAACTTGCACTGCAAGGGGAATGGGTATGGAAGTATAATAAAAAAAAAAAATATTTTTTTTTAATAGTTTAAGAAGAAAATAAATAGAATTTTAAATTACAAATAAACTTGTCATACTCTAGATTTGCAATAAAAGTAACATAATTGGAATCTTATGCACAGCATTTTTGGACAAGTTACAAATCAAGTTTTATTACAACTTTCCCAACAAGCACCAAGAAAAAAACACGACTGACTTAGTAAAATACTTTGTACGAGCGGCAAACTCACAGGGAACCATTATGCTCAGCCCAGCGCATTGACGAATTTGACAATAGAAGCAGCGATGCATGGCACTGGTAGAGGCTGAGCAAAACCCATTGTTGGAGGCCATACAACTTTGTCAAAACTTTTTTCAGACTTTCCCATTATTGCAAAAGGGGTGTTGGTTAGACTATGCAACCGATAATTAAATTCTGAAACGATTTCCAATTCGAAGGACAGAGATAACGACATCAACATAGTTTGACAGATCCGATTAACCCTTTTTGTCTGCGAAATTGTCGTCCTGTCTGCAAAATTGTGTGTCCGTCATCAAATATGTCACAACAAATAGTCTGATAGTGATACTGCCCAAGACTGTCCGCTTTGAACAGCGCCCCCAATAGTCAGATGGTGTAACACCCCCTCCCTCCTTTTTTGATTGTGTTACAGCAAAATTGTCACAAACCCCACCCCCCCCCTTTAAATCGGTCAGGCGTTGCCCCTGCATCCTTGCAAGTAAATGCAAGCATTAAGATTTTGCCGCACTTTAAATATAGTAGGCATTTCATAATATGCCCACTTGCCATGTACAAATGTGCTTACCAACACTGCCTCGCAATTTTCAACACATAAGATGCTTAAGCCTCGGAATTATTATTCAGGACAGATATTTGACACTGTCCATCTCAACCCATGGTGTTTTATAAAAAAGTGTCTCAATATCCGTTACATTTACACTATCAGAGGACCACAGATGTTCCTAAATCCTGTATATTGATTCCTGATATGTATTCAGTAACAGGTTAGACAATACACAACTAACGAACCACAGCTGGTGCCACAGTGATCATTACGTGTATTTATAGTCTTTCTTGTATTTGTTTTTGTTTAAATCAATACATTGCCATGATACAAAATGGAAGAAAACTGTTTTGCAACAGAATAGCTCATCAGCTGTCCAGGAAACAAATATCGTGATTCTATATAACATTTGTAAATGTTGACTTTGTGCCATATTCAGTAACACAATACACTGCTGTTCATGTTTCTCAAATAACATACATCAACAGATGCCAAAGTGATAGAATGATAGAATGGTACTTCATATAGTTAAAGGGAAACTACAATACAAACATGTCGACCTAGACCCAATTTATTTAAGTAATTCTTGGATGAAGATATTTTTCCACCAAGCTACAACAAAAATCCTGCAATACTTTTCCAAATAACTATTTATAATTACTTCAATTTGGTTTTAAATGAAAGGAAGTTGACTTGAAACTTGATTCAATCCTGATTAACTTTATGCATCATGTTCCAGAACAAACTGCCTGCATTATTGACAAATACCTTGTGAACTTCTATTTTTTTAGGTTGAAAAGACTAGGATTGCCTGGTCGTGCTAGACCCCTGCAGAGATTGTGAACAATTTAGGCAGTTTAGGACATTGTTTATACTAAATGACAGTCAGTCATTAAGGTGATTGTCGGGGAGTAGGGGAGTCAGTCGGGGAGTTGGGGAGTCGGTCAGTCAGTCAGTCAGTCAGTAAATCAGTCAGAGGACAGTAGGCTCGCCCGGCGGGTCCAGCAGGCTTGCCCGGCGGGTCCGGCAAACAAACAAACCCCTTAGGCCAAAAAAAGTCTCCGGTTTCTGGTATGCGCGCGCGTCGCCGTAGCCATGCGCGTCGGCAAAATGAAAACGTTTTTTTTTCAATGAAAGATGATGTCTCAAAACCGCCAAACTCACTGGTTTGACTGGAATCCTGCTGCTGCACAATTTTAACGTGTTTTTAGATTGGGTTATGGTCGAGAATATGCTTTATGTGTCCTCTCTGGACTCCCATATATATTTGCACTAAGTTTAGTCGGGCACCATTCATGCCATTTGCAGTCATCAGCCAACATTTGAAGCAAAAAAATCAGGTAAAAAAAAAAAAAAGCCGCGTCGCCGCACCACTTTTTGGGCAAGCTCCATACCAGAAACCGGAGACTTTTTTTTTTTGGCCTTATGAAATACCTTCTTTTTTAACAAAATCACTTAAGTTTTCGTTCACTTTTATCAATCTTCTTACCCTCTCATTTGAAAGTTACTGACTGGCAACTTCAAGTATGCGTGATAGGAGTACAGCAGCAAGGTGCATAGTAGTAATGTAGACAGTACAAGACCCACATGGATTCCCTGCTTGAAGTGGGCCATCTTGCAAGATATTCCGGACCACTCAGAGCGGCTGAAGCTAAGAGAAATCAGAAAGCAGGATTTAACAAAAGGGAAAGAGTAAATATAGTTTGTGTAGAAATAAAAAGTCTTCATTCTTTAGTCTCTGCTTTTCAAAGATAGAAACTAAGGAGTACACGATCTACGGTAAAAAAAACACATCTAATTTCAGATTGAAAAACTCTGAGAAAAGAAATCAATTCGGTGGAAACTTGGGTGAAAGCTCAATCTAGTCGATTGAATGAAATTTTTTCTAAACATGTCTGGTTCCTATTTCCAGTCCGTGGGAGTGAATAACAGCATGAATATCACTCCAATGGAGTGAAGAAAGTACACTGTATGCTTCTTTTAAAACCATCTTAACAATTTTGATAGTAATACATGTACAGTCGAGTCTCGTTAATACAAACTCGTTCGGACCTACCCAAATTGTTTGTTATATCAGAATTTTGTATTAAGAGGAACATCAGTCCCATTCATTGTGCACATAAATGCACAGTCGGGACTGAGGCTATTTGTTTGTTATAACCAGAATTTTGTATTAACAGAGTTTGTACTAACGAGATTCGACTGTATACAACATTTGCATTTGCTGTAATTTTCAAATGGATGGATTTGGGGATTAGTATTTTATAGCAAACATTGTTGAAAATTTTGTGTTTACAGATGCTGGAAAAACCAAAGAAAAAAAATGCTGTTCTTGTACTCTGGTTCCGTGACCCTACTTCAGACGAAACGGGAGCAATTTATAGACGTCCAGGAATTGTAAGGTCAGGGACAAACTAGCTGGCTTGCACCAGTTTACAGATGTGTAACCGTTTACCAACAAAATCGATTGTGGTCAAGCTAAAGTTGGTAATTTGGGTGCAGTAATTGAAATAAAGTCCCAACGATTGTTGGCCCACCATCATTGGAAATCGATACAAAAATTTCACTTTTCTTGAAAATCACAGCAAACCAGGTGGCATGATTTCACAGGATGCAGGCATGCAACTGGGAAATCACAAAAAAAGAGGAAATTCAATTTTTTCCCAGACTTTGTACAGTGTTTTTCTATTTTCAATGGCACGCATGGGAAGTAAAAAAAGAGGAAATCAGCTGATCCGAGGAAAAGTTGCATGCCTCAGGATGTTTGACACTATTATTCACTTACGGTCACTTACGGAAATTTTAAAATAAATTTGGTAGTTTTTTTTTTTCATGTTTGCAAATGTTGTATTTTATACTGAGACTCCATGTTACCAACGCTTGTACAACGAAACATCACGTCCAATTTGATTTAACTCCAACTTCAATATGCAAAGAATCATGATTTTTTTACTTCAATGGTTGTTTTTTTGAATGTTGAAATAGGATTTTATAAGTATCAGTTTAAAATTTAAACTTTACAGGTCTTGAAAAGGTCTCCGGGTCTCAGTGAAATTTTCACTCTGAATAAAGCCAAAAAATTAATAATTCTGCTTCCGATTACATGGCATTCTAAAATAGGGTAGGTAGGTAGGGATTTTTTGGGGGGCCATTTTGTGTGTGTACAATCATATGGAGGCGTCTGCGTGTAGTCAACGGTAAAACTTAGAAATTGATGGTTTTGGTTTTTTTTTTTCTCATTTTGCCCATAAAAAAAATAGGGTAGGGGCTGTCAGAATATGGTAGGTAGGGAAACCGGAAGCAGAACTATTATTTTTTTGGCCTAATACATGTTTACCGGCGCGGACACAATGAATGGAGACCCAAATATCAGGATTCCTTCATGCACTTCATTTGACTTACTTTGGCTGTGAAATATTGATCCAAATTAATTAGGCCAAGAAAAAAACCCAGTTGATCATCCCTGCCTGCATCTTTTTTGAAGCCGCATCCTTACATTTCATTTTTTTTTTTTTTCTCACTTCAAAAAGCAATTTTATTTTCATGCTTAAAACATGCATAAATTGGGTAAAATACATAGCATATTTTGTTTGACATAAATATTTTGACTCTTCTAGTAGGATAGCTAATAAAAAGCTGGAGGTCATTTTGAACTGAAAAGTTGGCGTTTTGAATTTAAATACATGGCATTACCCCCCAATATTTTGTAAAGACTGCCTTTTTCCATTCAAATGCCCTTTTTTCAACGGGGGGGGGGGGGGGGGGGGGGGGGGGGGGGGGGGGGGGGGGGGGGGGGGGGGGGGGTAAGGGGGTTATTTACCCCCCCCCAATATTTTGTAAAGACTGCCTTTTTCCATTCAAATGCCCTTTTTTCAACGTGCTTACCCCCCCCCCAACAATTTGTAAAGAGTTCCCTTTTTTTTTACGAAGTGCCTTTTTTTCTGAACAAATGCTCTTTTCCAAAAAGAAGTGGTGCCCTTTTTTGTGGTATCTGCCGTTTTGGATACCTTTTTCAGAATTTCACACATGAAAAGCACCATATATTGGCCCTTTGTGTGCATAATTGTCGGTTTTGAACAGCGCCCCATCGACAGATTTACCCCCCCCCAATAAAAATGACCGTGCTACGCCCCTGACTTTTAACCCACAAGAAGCATAGGCAGAGGAAAGATGGAATGTTGAGGTTGATCCGTGAAAACGTTTTCTTTGAGGTTAATGCCCACTTACTTACAGGCTAGGTAACATTTTTGCATGTACTTGTACAGCTAGTCCTGGGTCAATTGTTATACAACTGCTTGCTACATGTACTATTCTTAAAGGGAATATTCAGCATTTGCTTTTGCTGTAATTTTCAGAAATAAATGGATTTGGAGGATAAGTGTGTTTTAGAAAATATTGTTAAACTAGCTTGTTTCACGTTTTGGGTTTGGAGATGCTGGAAAATCTAAAAAAACGAACCATGTTCTTGTAGTCTGTTTTTTTATTTACTTTACTTAAGATGAGACGTTGTAATTTATAGACTTTGGGGATTATAATGCTCTAAGAGAGTCTGTCTAGCAGGCTTGTTCCCCTACACAGATGTGTCATCAATTGCAATTCAAATGCGGAATGACTAAATATGAACAATTAGGAGCAGTTTTTGAAAAAAGCCAGTTTTCTCCAACAATGGTCGGCCGACCAGCGTTGGAAAAATACAAGTTTTCTTGAAAGTGTTAGCACACCAGGAACCACGATTTCACAGGATGCTTTAGATTGTCATTCACTAACAGTCCAGTAAGATATTTCCTTATAATTTGATCATTTCGTTTTTTGATGTTTGCAAATGTTGTATCTTTCCTTTAATCTTATCTGCTTTCCTTCCTCACAAGTCTGGCCGACTCAGCATATTTTGTGTGCATGTAGAGTGCATATTGGCTAGTACATGTACATGATGTAGTTGTTTGTGTTCCTTCCTCCATGGTTGTACCATAGAGCAAAGACCTTTTTGGGCACACTGTCCTGTGCACAGCATGCATCATGTTACAAGCCTGTGCCACTTGTTCCGGCCGCCATTTTCTGCCAGCTTGTTTCTCTGAGGGTTTTTACGCACTGTACCACCATGGCAGCATTTTTCTGACCTTGAAAGGTGCTCAGGCCATCTGTGTCATATTTCAATCCAGGAGGTGGGGGAATACAAGTCTGATTGTTTTATTCTACACAGCTTTTAGGTGGGGGATTTTTAAATAAAACCAATACATTTGGTATCAGCTGGAAATATTCAAGTTTGTAGGTAATTTTGTCACAGTTTTGTTTCTAGAAACAATTCAGGAAGTGTTTCATCACATTCAAAGTTAAAAAGGGAATATTACGGAAACAGGCGAAATGTTGGACCCTGCCACTGGCATTTTGGTTTTACAATTAAATATAGTGAGGGGAATACATGTATGTCAAAACGCGAAAGAAGACTACAGCTACTTTGTTTTTAGGGAGAGGGGTATAATCTGCACTCTTCAACTCAAAGGGGATTCCCCTTTTATTTCTCGCTTCTAGTTCCCATGCTCACCAATGCACTAAATGTTGACAAGGCACTGGGTTGGGAGTATTAAGTCTGCCTTTTTATAGAGAATACACAACATTTGCCTTTGCTGTAATTTTCAGAAATGGATGGATTTGGAGTATTTTATTTCTTATTAACCTAAACTCCCTAGGCAGTGTGCAAAATCAAATTAAAATTGGAGGATTCAGGACTGTTGTTAGGGAAGTAGTTATGTATAGTTTGATGTTTGCAAATGATGTCTATTACTTTTAAAACCAAATTAGTCCATATATTTAATACTCAGCCAGTTGGGTCAGGCATGCAACTGGGAATTTAGAAAAAATAAGGAAATTCGAAACCACATAAGACTTTGCACAGTATTTTTTCTATTTGTAATGACATTCATGAGAAGTAAAAATCGAGGAAATCAGCGGATCTGAAGAAAAGCTACATGCCTGGTTGGGTAAATCAAAAGGGGGGGGGTGGATTGTTGGATTTTCATGAGTTTCTTTGATTTTCATGAACAAGGACAAATTTCAAATTGGTAAAAGTACAAGGTTCCCCAAGTTGGTCAAAGTAATCAATTGTCCATGTAAAGTCCATAGTTGGTCAAAGTAATCAATTGTCCATGTAAAGTCCATTAAGGCAGTAAATATTGATTGATGAATTTCGTGTCGTAGCTTAAGTTATATTGAAAAATAACAACACATCATCGGCAAACCTGTAGCTTTTTTGTGCCTTAAGTAGCTAGTGATTTGAAAAATGCATGTGAATGTTCACAACAAATGTAGAACATTACTGCACATTTTTCAAAAATTCATGTTTAGTTTTAAAAACAAATGCGATTTCATTGCTGCAAACATTACAAGAACTCCCATCAATATTATTAAAATTCCCAAGCAAGTAAAAGAAAACGGAAAGATTTCCAGATATGAAGTTCACTCAACACCCCGTGTACAAACCCTATGGATTGGACTGAAAATTTTTAAGTGTTTTCTAAGAAAATGCTTGTATTTTCTCACTGCTCAAATTGACTTTGATGAAATGAAATTGCTATCTGGGGGCTTGTTAGTCACAATACAGAGGAAAATTAGTGAACTTCGTATCTGGAAATCTTTCCAAGAAAACCTGCTTAGTTTAAAAAAGAAGTTTGTATATGCTGCTTATCATTGGATCTAGATGTGGAGACCCACCATTTAGTCTAGACCTGGTATTAAAATTACATGCATTACAAAAACAAATGTCATTTAAAGCATCTTGCTACGCTGCTTTCCAATCACATAATGTCCCATCAAAATGAATAAATACACATGATTGGTTGAAATTATGTTTGGTTGAGGTTTACTTTCAAAAATAATGATGGAGATTCTCTTAAAGTTAAGTTAAAGAAAAGAAGATATGATTATGACCACCAGAAAATGTAAACGTATGTTTGCTATTAAGTTGGTGTTGACCGAAAATAAAGGCAATGTTAATTGTTGGCATTTATTTAATACTAGAATGGGTGTTGTGTTATAAAGAACAGTTCTTTTCCTTAAACAATTTACCCATGATCTAGCCTTAGGCCTATATGTCTAGATGTAGAAAAAGAAAATAATTCAGATAACAAATTCTCCGGCTATATCATATTATGGTATACGTTGTTCATGTACATGATTGAAAGTGAAACCATGTGTGGTTTGATAAATAACATGGAGGTAGAATTAGCTCCATAATATTATAAGCCAATGGCCAACATCTGACGACAAATTCAGTAGAAGTACTTACAATCCTACAAGGAGAAGTCGATCCACTCTAAAGAATCACCATTTTCACAATTTGTGAATAGCTCCCAGCCTGCCCAGCCTGCCCAGCCTGCCAACACTATGAAGAGTGCAATTTCACCTCCTGCAATGTCAAGTCGAAAAGTCAAGGCAAAAGTCGAGACATCGAGGCACAGCTCACTTCGTCGCCGCGTGTAAACAGCAGGCGTATGCGCCAACCGGACCACGCTGAGCTGAGCAAGAACAATAACTCGAGTTGGACGAGCGATATGATCTCGCACTCGCCTAACAAAGCAGGATTATCTTTCATACATAATCTTCTCGTCCATAATCCGTAAGGTCAACACACCGACAACAAAAGGTAAACATTTCTGTTTATACTGTGGGTTTGTTTTCCGCCAGAGCGTATTTATCGGAGGCAACTTTTGACATCCTTTCTACGATACTGGGTAGTGTCATGGAGGAATAAGTGCACCACGTTGCACGCTGAGCCGTGTGTACGTATGCGCTGGGCTTATCTCTGTACAATGTACGTACATGTACACGATGTAGTTCGGATGGGGTGTATGTGACGTGTGAATCGAGCCCTCATGCATAATTCTTGATTTGTTAACTCCCGTGGGGTCGGGATTCCAGAACCACCAGTTCAAGTTGTAGATCGAGGGGGTGTGGGGGGGGGGGGGGTACTAAGCAGATAATTATTTATGGGTTATCTGCCTTAAAGTGATAACACAACAGTGCCGACTGTCGCGTCGGGGGGCGGGGGAGGGGAGGGTTGTAACGTAAGGATGTATTTCTTGCGGTCTACGTGGCCTACGTGAAATGTCCTGCCACGTCCACAACTAGATAACTGACCGTTGTTTATCGCAAAAAAACAGTAATAGGCCTAGCGGTTGCAGTAACCCGTATGCTTTTTATAGGGAGGAATTAAATTCTCAGTGTGGCTCCCATTAAACTCCCCCCCCCCAAAAAAAAACCCGTATAAATATTGGTCTTGTACTACTGGAATCCAAATACAATGAGCTACCAAAATGGGTGCGTTCGTTTAATTAGCTCAGTCAACATGGTGCACCACTGACCCTGCTTGTGGAGCGCGAGCAGAGTTGGTGGCGCATGGACATACGTCACACGAATGCGTTGTCCTTTCTAAGAAACGGACGGCGACTGGACAGCGGAAATCTCAAGTGAACTTAAAATTTAACTTAATTTGAAACCTAAAGGTAACTCATTTGTTGAGTTCATTGCGACGAAGAAAGAAAGCCCACTTTTTTCACTTTTGCAACTAACTGAAAAGCAGTAAAAGCAGTGCTAAAATCTAAAAAGACCTAATCAGAAACGAGCGTCTTGTCAGTGGCTACGGCCACGTACGTACGGCTAGAACGTGAGGATCCGAGGCCGCGGTTTAGCGTTACCGCGTGCGCGTCTGCCTTTACTGGAGGTCGATCCGGGTGAGCTACTCGAACGAATGTTGGAGCGCTCATTATGGGCCCGCCCAAATTACAAATTGAAAGCGCGACACGTGGCTCTCAAGTTACTGCGCGCATTTGCCTTTGTGCTTTGCCATCATTATTCATCGGCCCGCCCTAACTCCCGGTACACTTCAAGTCCTCTTTTTTTATAATTTAACATTTCAATCATACTGAGCATATTTTCTGAGAAACACAACACTCAAAAGGCCATGTTTTTTTTAGATACATGAATTTCGCTGCTCTGTTATAGCGCCAATTAAAGTATGAAATGGGATAACTTTCTCTAACAACCGGGACGCTTTGGCCTTTTAAGCTTTGTAACCACACGGCTTTATTTTCTTGAAACTCAAACTTTCCAACGTTCTTACAAAGTCTGGAGTGCTGAATGGCAACACACCAACCAATGAAAACTGGTATGCAAATGAATTAATGTTTTCATCGGATGGCATAACCGGCCCATGCTTATAAGCTGAGCACGTGACCTCTATTGTGTGGTATAACATATAGCAGATTGCATTCAGCCACTGTGTTAAATCATTGAATGCACAATAAATGCACAATGGGTACTCATGCGTATCCACGTTGAACAAAAGCACACACTTCTAAGATACATATTCATCACAAAAAATCACTTTCATGAGCCAAAACAACGTTTGAATTTCCTCCATGATGCTTGGTTTATTTAACCATTGAAAGAATACTCATACCAATATTGAAATTCACTTTAAAATACACATGCTACATTTCCACGTCTGTTTACGGTGGCAAAACATTCAAAAAGCACCTTTTTACAACACATGCTGCATATCAAGATAAATACATTTCCAGTCAATAAAAAATATGAATATACGTGTACAAACTTAATTTTTTTAAAACATTTTACGGAGTGAATTATTTTACGATAACTGCGTTTACAAAATGTAAAAAGGAATGCGATTTTTAGGTAGAAAAATAACATCTAAGCACACTGTTGAAACATTTGCACACGTTTATTTTTTTTAAATCTGCTACAGTTTTCACTATAAAAAAAGCAATTTCGACTTCATTAAAATATGATTAGCATTTCTTTCCGATAATTAAAACTTATTTTTATAAAAGCCATTTATTTACATTATTCTTTGGTAATTTAAGCACACAATTTTTTTGCCATTGTAATCTTTTATAACAAATCATATGACATATAAACAAATGACAGAGATTTAAAGGGAATATACAACATTCGCAAACATTAAAAAATAGAACTACAAAATTATATCATGAAATACCTTGCTTGACGGTTAATGAAGACAGTCTAAAGCATCCTGTAAGACCATGACACCTGGGATATTTGTATCAATTTCCAACACTTTTTCCAAAAACTGGCTTTTTTCAAATACTGCCCCCAATTTACCATATTTAGTTAGTCCACATTTTGTCTGCAATCGATTACACACTACCTATGAACGGGTACAAGCCAGCTAGACTCCTTGACCTTACAATTCCCCATGATGACTATTAAATGCTCTAAGTGGGGTAAGGGAACCAGACTACAGGAACACGATTGTTTTTCTTGTTTTTTTCCAGCATAGACTACAGGAACACGATTGTTTTTCTTGGTTTGTCCAGCATCTACGAACACGAAACTTCATACAAGTCAGTGAAACAATAATTTGCTATAAAATACTAACCCCCAAATACCAACTCCTCTTAATTGTATCAAAACTATTTGACATCCCTTTTTGGTGAATTTGATTGAAAAGTGCATTTCATTAAACATTAAAAATTGTCCCTGCTTTTCCGGACAACTGAGAGCGTTGTTGCTGTGATGTCATTTCAGGATCAGGAAGACACAGTTCAATTTAGGGGTTTTCTGTTAAAATTGTGAACCCAAATATTTCCTCATTAAAAAGACATCTTTGAGAAAAGTTTGCTCACTGGCTTACTGTATGTACTGAAACAACAAAGAATCACGTAAGGACAAAACAAATTTAAGACAGCATACATGTATATCCAAAATTCTGGCAACTTTTCATGCTGAAATAACTGTAACATTGAAGTTTATGCCTGAAATGACATCACACTTTTGCTCATGAATATGCATGGTATTCAAATCAGCATAAAAACCAGAAAGGCACCAAAACATTCTTGAAAGTGGTACAAAAATGAAAATAATGTCAAATGGTATACAAAGGTATATTTTTCAGTAAAAAAATTACATTGCAAGGGCCCTTTTAAGGAGGTCATTCCTCAATGCTTACTTTTGGATGGAAAGGATCATATGTCGATTCTAAATGGAATCGTGTCTCATTGATTCAAACAATTTTGGAAAAGCAGAAGCCTCATATTACACATTGCAGCACAAAATCATCACAAACGAATAAACTCTTAACCTAATGCACTAAATTAAACGACATGTTTATTAAAATGACACAACATACAAATGATAGATCTCAATGTAAGTGTAACCCTTTCAAATCCATTTAGCACACATGCAGTTTTTAAGAGAGCACCATTATTGCATTCCGTATCTCTTTTTTTGAATTTGTCGGATTTGAGCCGTGTAGAGCAATTCTGGCTCCGCCATTCTATTGCACATGACGTCATTGGACGCCTCCTTTTTCAACAGGAAACTATCAACTGGAATACCCGGTGGATGCCAAACTCTGTCGTTTTTGTTGGTCACCTCAGCAATGCAGCGCTTCTTGTAATATTCATTTCTCTCCCTAAGTTGTGCGACTTCCTTTTTCATTCGGTCGAATCCAAAAGCCTCGACCTTCTCCCAGAATGTCCGGTTGAAGGTTTCATAGAGTTTCGTATCCCCGTAGTTCCACTTCCGGATCTTGGTAGCTGCTTGTGGCGATACGGCCTTCACGGCCGACTTGCTGCGAGCATTTTGGACGAAGTAGACAACGTCGTCGAACTCCCAGCACATGAGGTCGCGCAGCAGAACAAGGGACTCGTCGAAATACTCGGTCATCATGACCAAGTCAAACTGGCCCTTCAGTTCCTCGATTTTTCTGTCAATTGCGCTCTGATCCCCAAGGTAAGCTTTGGGAAGCCCCAGACCGTACAGCATGGGATTCTTGATGTGTAGGATCCCTCCGTCTGCTATTCTGTAGTAGTATTCAGGTTTTTTTAGGAACAGCTCCAAGCCGCGATTATTTGGAAGGTGGTACTGCCAGGCCATGTTGTTATAGGTGAAGAGGGATTCGAACATAGGAACAGGGTCCCGAAGAATGGTGGCGTAAACGCTATTGACTGGCATCACCTCTGCCATACCTAAATAACAATAAATGAAAGGGGATACATATTTTGATCAGGATATTTTCATATCATACTTACAGTACTCAAATAAGTAACATCATTCTATTTGACGTTGTAATTTACTGATTTCATATGGGGGTTCTGTTTCAGTAAAGAAAAGGTTGCAACTGGTAAACAACATAATCACATCTCCAGTTGAAATTTGACAAATCAACATCGATTTGACAAAGTGACAAATTTTCAACTTTTATGTTTATTCAACTTTTATGTTTTATTCCAACCCGAAATTGAATTCCTATTTTCATTTTTTGGCCATCTGAAACCCTCTGAATGTTTTTTTTAATTTTTGGGCCACTAAAAGTGCCACCTTACGAGTTGTCTGGTTCCAAATTTGTACACTATTGATAGTTTGATACCAATTGTTGGGTGGGAACCAGTCTTCCCCTCGTAAACAGAATTAGTGTTGGGCTGCAAGTAATTCCAAATTTATTAAGTAATAATTCAATAACTAAACATCAGCTGAATTTTTTTTAGTGAGTGTCTCCTTCAAAAGTGAATAACTTTTGTATCACTAGAAAAGAAGCAATTTAGAAAAGGAATTTATTTTCAGGATGGAACTCGAAATGAGCATGGGGTAGCATCAATCCTGCAAAATCCTCCAATTGGCATCATGGGGAAAAAAACATATATCCTCAATCCTGCAAATTCCTCCCATTATTTCTGATTATGGTCTGTGGGGGGTGACCACTGCCTGAATCCTGCAAAATTTTGCGACAGTGACTGTCAATATGTTGAGGCTTGGCCAGTGACATCCTGGAGCAGTATATACAGAGGATTTCAAGCAAAATACAGGCCTATATTTATGCCTGGCTCGGCAAAAACAACACAAGGTCCGGCCCACAACCTCGACAAAGTGCATCCTACGAAATCAGTCACTGTCTTTTGCCATGTAACCTCAATCCTCCACGTTTCTTCGCTTTGGCAAAGAGGATTTTGAAGGATTCAGGGCGGTTAGGGTTAAGCTTCTGAAATTTATGTAGCTCAATTGTGAAGTACCTTTGGCATTGAAAACTGTATGGTGGCATAAAATGTTGTACTCCTCCACGGGAAACTTGATCATGTAGCGTTTGTTGAACGCCGAGTGGCCCAAATAGTTGCCGGCCGGCGGGAGAACGAAGTCCAACACGTGCGCCTCACCGTAGCGGAACAGGATATTCTGAATGGTGCTGCTGCTGCACTTGTGCATCTTGAAGAAGACGATGTTGGTGCGCGGATTGCAGCTTTTCCCTGACCCCTGATTGGTTGAAGGTGCTCTGTCGTGATTTGCCATGGCTTGGGACGATGATGCGTTATTAGCCTTCGCAATTTCCCGATGTATCAGAACGGCTTGCAAGGCCTCCGATTGTCTCTCAGTACCACGGCTGATGTTTGGCGTTGCATTCAATTGGAGTGTTTTCAGCAAAAAAGTGGAGACGTCTGCAACTCTAGTTAGATTCTGAAAGGGAGCGTTATGAAATATATCACGTGACAATGAATAAACTGCTGCAAACTGCTTGCTGACTGGATTGACCTGAAATATACAGATCATAAAAAGTCAGAGGGTCTAATCTGTTGATCTTAGCAGAATCTTTGTAAAACGCAAAATGACAGGGGCACAGAACACACATGTACACAAATATAACATTTTAAATTGGATTGCAACAAGGTGAAAATAAAGCAGAACTGCATATCACTGTAGATAAGTATACAGGGTGAGTAAAAGAAACAAAAATGTGGGGACCATGGTTTTAGTGAAGTTCTGCATATGTAGCACTTTCAAAATCAAGGATTTGACAGCCCAATTCATTTTCTTTTAGTACAAGAATCATTTAAATCACTCCTGTAATTGTTAGGTTACAGAATTTTAAGCACAACCACCATTTTAAAGTTATGTCCACGGATCACAACAAGGTAAGTGTTCTTTCAGCAAAATGAAAACAAATCAGATAGGGATGTGTGTGAATTGTTTTCGTTTTGCTGCAAGAGTGCACACCTTTTTTGTGATCCGCGAACAGAACTTTAAAACGGTGGTTGTGTTTAAAATTCTGTTACTTGAAAAGTACATGAGTGATTTGAATGATTCTTGTACTAAACGAAAGCTTATGAATCAGGCTTTCATATCCTAAATTTTGAAAGTGCTACATGCAGAACTTCAATCAAACAATGGTCTCGAGTCCCGACATTTGGGTTTCCTTTTCTTTGCTCACCCTGTATAGGATGAAAATAAGTTAGAGCAGTGCTCAAAATAATACGTTCTTCGTTTCCTAATTCTATTCCTGATGCAAGATGACCTGATGACACTGTGAAACACAACACGAGACCCAACTTATTTAACATACTGTAGGCCATGTCACCCAACACAACAAAATTGCCAAAGCTACTGAGTAATACACTCTTTTTGTTTACAAATCTTACACAACAAACATCAAAAGGAACAGTCTTCCTCGTTATTAATTAATATCTGCAAATGCAAGATGTGAAACTGAGTGCTAGTTATCAAATTTTCACCAAATTTACCAAATTTTAACATTTTCAAAATCTCTATTTGCAACTCACTCAATGTTCACAGTTACTGTTTAAAGTTACACAAGATCTTTTCTTTTTGTGCCTTTTTTTTTTGCAGGAAGACACTGTTCAATTTGGGGGTTTTCTGCTCAAATGGTGAACCCAAAAATATGCTCATTTAAAACATCAGTGAGAAAAGTTTGCTCACTGGCTTACTGTCATGTACTGACATAACAACGAATCACCAAAGAAAAGAAAATTTACGACAGAGAAATATCCAAAATAGTCTCGTTCCTTTTGCACAAAAACGTTATCATTCAGTACTGTTTTTGGATACAGGGAACATGACTGAAATGGTGGCAGCATGATAAAGGTCTATACACTGTTTTTGTGATATGAGTAGTGTCTTTGCATGTGAGAAGAGGATTGTCATGATTTTTTTCTATGGGTTCTTTTCAAGATTCAAGACACATACCTTGGTTTTACCTTCAGTTCCTCCTAGAAATTTATGAAGGTTGGGCAGTGAAGATTTGATCCCTGAGCTGGAAGTAAAAGTGTGATCATTGAGATGTCTGAAAACTGCAAATCTAAGAATACAGATTCACTGAAACACTACATATACAATGGTAACAAGATTGCTATCATTATCATGTCCTTAAATTGGCTGGTGTTCCTGGAAAAAATAGTTTTAACCCTAACCCCTTTGGGTATTTTTACTAGAAAGTATCCTGAATTCGCCAAAATCCATCAATTTTGCCATGCAATAAAATGTCAGTTGGCAGTGAATCCACCAGTTAGCCGGGAGTTAAGTGTTGAGATCCTGAATCCATCAAAGTCCCCCAACTGCTCAATATGGAGGTATCCTGAATCCATCAAAATCCTGCAGTACCGCTAGGCTTACCGTCCTGAATCCATTAAAATCCCCCAACTTTTTCAATATGGAGGTATCCTGATGCCGCCGAAATCCTCCAAAACAGGGGTGTGGATTTTGATGGATTCAGGTACGTTAATCAAGTTGGGTAGCGCCAGTGGCCATTGTAACAATGGCTGACTGAAGTCTAAACGCTGATGTTTTTTTTTAAACTAAAACCTACCCTGGCATGAAAAATGTGGAAACCGGATGAGAGGACTTGTGTCAATAGACAACTGTGAAACCAATTTCTCAAAGGCGACCATAGCGCTAGTTTAATTATCTCCTGGCAAAATATTGTTGACCTTGCAGAATTCTGCACTGAGGGAAATGTGGCCAGTGATGTTCAATGATGCAGAACTTATAACCACATCACAGTGGACTGATTAAACCCATTCATCCTGCAGTACCGCCCAGAACCACCCTCAGAATTGCTTTTGTTTAATTAGCCACCTGACCATGAAATAAATGTCATCATAAATAAAATGGAAAATGACTTGATGCATAAGTAATGCTTGCTGCACTTATGCTGTACTCTCATAAAAATGCGACCAGCAAGTGACAATTTCAAAGTCAAGTTCAAGCTGCTCTATCCATGTCTTCAACATATTCAGTTTTTCCCCCCAAACGAAATGTCAATTTGTTTCTTTTATTTAAACAAAAGGCTACTTTTTTTTCTACTATGGACTTTTCGACATACTGAAAATATGCTTTTATCTAGGGTTGTGCCAAAATGCACAGACTTGATACACACCTGAATTATCATTGGGCCGCAAATAATTCAAAATTGGAAAGAAATTGTACAGGAAATACTCAATAAGTCCAACAACTTTTGTATTGCTTAAAAAAATTGCTTAAAAAACAAATAACTTTTTTTCGGGGTGAAATTAGAAAATAGCCTGGGGGAGCAACTTTAAGCTTGAAATTTTGTCTCATTTCAAGAACATAACTTTTTCCACAAATAAAAAGCAGGTTGCTATAATTCGTCGTTTCAGTGTGTAACTGTAATCGGCTGAATGTGAATGTGTCCCGGACGCTGATTTGGGTGCAATTCAAAACATAACTCAGCAACTTTTGAATTGAAATCGAGATCCTAAAATATTGTTTTCTCGGAATGTACAGCATTTACTGAGCTAAAACTTCAGCAGGTTAATTATTAAGCACTCTTGTTTAGATTTTGAGCACTTTTGTTGCTTCAAATGAAAACAATTATATACACGTACTCTACCTTTAACAGAATCAGAGAAATAAAAATAAAAAATGGAACATTACTTGCTTTTCTAATGTCCCAACACAGTTCTGTACCAAAGAATGACATTTACAAGAATTTGTTTAATAGGTCGAAAATAAACAGAAAAATAAATATATATGCTGAATCACAGTGTAAAGAGAAAATTAAATTTTGTTAAAGTTGAACAAAGAAATTGACAGGAAAAATTAAAGTCCTGAATACTGGAGGTTCGAACCTCTGGTAATTCAGAGGTGGCAGGTTCAAACCCCATTCTAGTCAACTTAAAAAAAAAAATATTACAATGCATCCAGTAAGTTTCCTAATTGAAAAACGCGGCCCAATTTTGTTTTTTAGAGAGTATTTTTGGCCAGTCAACCAGCTGCAGTGAGTTTGTTTCTGCATTCAATAGGGGATTTTGAACAATACAGGACAATAGGGTCCCCTATTCCTGAAGGTCCCCAATTTACGATTGTGTACAAAACATATGGGAGGTTGTCCTAAAAAGTACAAGCGAAAGAGGGACGGGGTCCCCTCTTGCAGGCAAATACACTCTTGTGTGCATTTGTTTATGGTGTAAATTGAGGACACACACGTGCAACATCATCGGTGAATCGATGACAGGTACCAAATCGAGGACGACCCCGATTAGAAAATGTGTACAAAACCAATGAGAGCTAGCTGTTGCGAAAAAGTTAGTGTACAAACAAAGGAAAAGGGAAGAGGAACAAAAGAAAATCCTCAATTTACTCCATAAACAAATGTGCGCATGTTTGAGGGTTTATCGTGGTGCATGGCAGTTCACACCTATTATGTCACAGACATTTAAGGCCCATGCAATTATTACACAACAGTGCATTTTCTCATATGGCAAATATTGAGTCTGGTTGAGTGAGGATTGATAACAGGAGAACAGCAAACAAACCCACCTTCTCAATTTGGAAGAAGTGTCAACAACGACATGTTTGATACCATCGTACTGGATGTAACCAACTGTGACCATCAGTAGAAGAAACACGGCCAGCCCAACCGAGGCCACTTGCTTGGATAATGTCATGACGACTGTGGTGACGTCTGAAACAATGTCTGGGCACACTGCGGATGAAGACATATAGAACTTGTAGCCATATAGTATACAAATATTGAGTGGCTCAGCATGGAATGGGAGGAATATTATCGCTCGGTAAAATCTGGACTTTTCATTTCACGAGGCGAAGCAGAGTGAACTGGAAAAGTCCAGATTTTACCGAGCGATAATATTCCTCCCATTTCACAATTTAAAGCCACTCAATATTTGTTTTATATAACTGACATATAGATCCTTGTCATTTGATATATTTGAACTTTTGTTTTCAATACAAAACTGAAGGAAAATCTATTTCTCTCTTCAAAACCACCCATCACGAAAATGTTTGAACCTAACGCTGTATCGCTGGCTCTTGGAACAATACGCGCTACGCGCAACGCTGAACGCGCACACCAGCATTCATTTGCACACAAATACCGCGTCATGATCCTAACTGTTGAATAGTATTTCCCATTCCCCATGGGCGGATAGTACTTTTTGAGCCGCGGCGGTGAATGGGAGCAATAACGAATGTCATGTGATGTGAGTTCCACCAATCAAATGACTAGGATCTGTATGTCAGTTATATAATAGACCTTATTGCAAATATCACTTAATCTGTGATTTCGGTATTGGATGGAGAAACGTGAGCTAGAAGCTCCCATTTATTTCATAGTCACGCCAACAAAAGTGATAAGTGAGGTCCCAAATGCAATGCCCTCCATGTTGAAAAAAATATGGGTGGGAACTCTCTGACCACTTGAACAGGCAGGCTACTCCTGAACTAAGACGACCGCTACAGTGATTGAATACCATGGAAATCAGAGACCAAGGAACAAATTGGGTGATGTTCCAGTTGCAAATTCTTTAGTTTGTGGGCACGTGTGGTCTAGCGGTGGAGCACAGGATTCATGATCATAAGGTTGTGGGTTCGAGCCCCGCCGTGGCCATGCGTGTTGTGCCCTTGAGTAAGGTGCTTTACACAATTACTCCTCTCAACCCAGGTGTTACATGGGTACCGGCATTATTCAATGCTGGGAAGGTAACAGACTCGCTGAGGAGAAGGTGTGGCGATCCCCCCACGGCGGAATATGAGTCTGGCCCAATCGCTATGGGCACTCAGTTCCTGTTAGCACAGGTTCGGCATCTTTACCTTTCTTTACCTTTAGTTTGTGTCACAAAAACTGGAAAGCTTAATTTTTTAAGTTGGTTTTGAATATCCGGTTGCTAAAATCCAAACCGAATAGTGGAATTCAAACCGAATTTAAAAAAATCTTGATTTTAATCCCACCACTAGATTTTGGACAATCGCTACCAAGCACTGAGGGAAGGAAAAAGCGGAAAAGTCTGTGTTGTTTCTCTTTCCGCAATACTTGCTATCCACTGTAAAAACGCACTTTAGGAGTAATTTGTGATAAGACTTTTGAATTCACACAGTGGACAACACAAAATAATCAACATACTATCCCAAGACATGGGCGGATCTTGGAACAATACCACAGGGTTGATAGGAAGTAAGCCACTCAAAAGCCTTTCCTGGTCATGGGTGGGGAGGGAAGGGTGGGGAGGGAAGGGTGGGGAGGGGCAGGGGTGTAAGACTGGGGGAGGGGGAGGAGGGGTACACCGTACATGTATATATCCTCCCCCCCCCCTACTTTTTGACCAGGGGGATGGGCTATTGAAGCATCCCCCCACTTTTCGTGATGAGAAAAAGAAATGTGGATTTCGAGGTATTTTTCTAACATCCCAACAACAAAAATGTATTCAATAGCACTGAAAGTGGAGAAAGAAAGTACAAAAGCTTTGTAAATGCACCTTTTTGATGTAAGCAAGAGTATACATATCTATATTTTGATGTGATGAAATCACATCAAAATTGTGGATAAAAAGTAATAAGTACATTTTCAGTGACATTTACATTCCAACACATGTTTTGAGAACATTTAGGGAAAAACAATTAAGCCACTTTATCTCTACACAAGACAAGTCTTCATACCCCCCCCCCCCCCCCCCCCCACCCCCCACCCACCACCACAAAAAAAACAAATAAATCAAGGGAGGGAAAAAGGCGATAAGCTTACTGCATGGTTGATATGAAAACTTGACATTACTCATACAAGACAGCAGTTGATTTATACAATTTCCACTAAAAGGGGCATTGCGGCCTGAAATCCCTGAAAATTTCATGTTTTGGATTGTTTACTTACACTATTTAAAAGGTCTAGTTGAAAGGAAACGAACCTAAAATTTATGTATCCAGGACTGAGAAACATTTCCAATTTTGTTAGGAAATACTTGAACATTTTCTTGACTCTCCATATGTAGGCTTTGTATACAACCGCTGAAATGGTGTCAGGTTGCAACATTCCTTACTTGATTAATTCCATATTAGGCCTACCATTCATCTGTGAACAGGTGAATCATTGTTATGTGCATCAATGGATTGGGTGGCACCTGATCAATGTGTACGTACGTGTACTGTGTTAAGCCCACCTGAGCAACGACTACGAGAAAACTCACCGTAAATGCCGTAACTCACTGCGTAAGTTACCCTCGAAATAAAATGCAATATAACACAGGGAACTTACCATAGTAAATGCTAAGTACACTTTGTGATGTCTTAGACGGTTTGTAAATTACGGGTTTGGACAAAAGCCGGCACTTTCTTTGAACATTTCTTGAACATTTCTTGAACATTTCTTGAAGGCCGCTGGCACGGCAAGCGAACTGTGTACACAAGTACTGTACACACATCCTTACGTCTTCAATATCGACTGGTGCATGTCTCAGACGAACCGTGCAATGCACGCTTTAGAAGTCGGAATACCAGACGTGTATTATTGAAGAGATTGCGGCTATTTCGAGCCCTCACAATCCTCATACATATATCGATCGCTTCTTCTTCTTCTTCTGCAGTAGCACTGGCAGTAATTTACTGGTTCCTGTGACATTTAGAAATTACCGTATGCTAGTAAAACGTCTGGGTCGAGAAAATGTAGGTAAAAAAAGGTGCATGCTGGGTAAGTTTTAATGAAAAATTCGTTACTTTGGCGCCAATCTTTGACAAGTCCGAACGACGCACGTGCTTGGGATATGGGCACCCTGCCGGTATCAGGTCAACTCGGACCCAAACAAGTCGGACCCATGCCAAGTCGGACCCATGCCAACTTGGACCCACGCCAACTCGGACCCACTACCAACTCGGACCCACTACCAACTCGGACCCACGACCAACTCGGACCCACGACCAAGTCGGACCCACGACCAACTCGGACCCACTACCAACTCGAGTTGGCATGGGTCCGAGGGCTTGGGTCCGAGTTGGTTTGGGTCCGAGTTGGATCGAAACCCTGCCCATGGGCTGCCGCGGTGACATAATGGTCGGCAGTAAACAAGAACCATGCACGAACTAAATATATGCATCGTACATGTTCGTGTAAGCATGGAGGAAGAATGTTAGTGAACAGTGTGTTTAACACCGTGCAGCCAGTATGTGATGAACGAATCGGACATTTTGTAAGATTTTCATTCTGTGTCTTTACTTTGAAGTTTGTGGGATATTCCTCCATGGTTATTTTAATTTATTACAATGTAACAAAGGCACAAAAATGTTCACTCACAATTCTACCCTAATTATGTATTGACCAAGACTTGTTATTTTCAATTTATGATATGTGACTGTGACTTGTGTGAGGTTGTAAAAAAGGGCCTCCCGCTACTTTTTTTTGTCGTTGAATTTGTATAGCTCATGACTGAGTTACAACTTGTAACTCGGTCATGATCTACACAATTCAACGACAACATGACAGGTCTTTTAGGCCAAATAAAAAAAAAAACATGTTTAGCATCCTGCTTTTTGAAAAAAAAGGAAGCGGGAGGCCCTTCTTTTCCCCTCCAAAATGGCCGCCCAACCGGGCTATTTTTTAAGATTGCTGCCAGTTTTTTTTTTTTAATGGCCGCCATTGGACTCAGAGAATGACATACCAGCTTTATATGGGCTAGATGCAACAGACAAAGAGGCCAAAGTGATGTCACTTTTTAAAATTTATCATTTTTCGTTT